AAAAAATGTTTTAGCAGCTAGGACAATTTAACAATAGATACAATTAATGAGAGTGGGTGGCCTTCTGAGATCTCCAAGCAACTATACAGTCAACTGTTGAGGATGCTTTGCTACAGATTTCCTTCACTAAGCAGGTTTTGACTACATGGCCTAAAAGACCCTTTCAACCCTAGGATTCCATGAATTCTATCACAAGAAAGTTCCTTTGCTTATAAGGAGAAACTGGGATTAGGTATTTGAAGAAATAGGGATGTGGTGGCACTGTGGGTTAAACCGCAGTAGCCTCTGTGCTGCAAAGTCGGAACACCAGCAGTCGGAAGATCGAATCCTCATGACGGAGTGAGCTCCCATCCCTTGTCCCAGCTCCTGCCAACCTAACAGTTCGAAAACATGTAAAAATGCAAGTAGATAAATAGGTCCCACCATGGTGGAAAGGTAACAACATTCCATGTCTAGTCCCGCTGGCCACATGACCACGGAAACTGTCTACGGACAAACACTGGCTCTACAGCTTGGAAACAGGGATGAGCACCGCTCCCTAGAGTTGGGCACAACTGGACAATTTGTTAAGGGGAACCTTTACCTTTACTATTTGAAGAGATACCTATGCACTGGTTTAAATCCGCCTGTTTCTAGGAATATACCTCCTTTGTTCAATTTTTGTTAGTTTAGCCATTCATCATCATCATCATGTGCCATCAGGCCTTCATAATAAATTGAAACATTTCAAATAGGCAAATGCAATGAAACTCTTTGCATCACCAAAGGGGTCTTAATTAGGGTGGCCAAATAAAACCCTCAACAAAACTGTTTCGCTAAGCACATGATTGCAATTCATTATGTCTCACTTTGTAGTGGAAGAGTGGGGAATCTGTGTGCTCCTGATGTACGACTCCAGCTTCTATGACTCTTCGCTACTAGCTATGCTAGCTAGGGAATATAGGAGTTGCTCAATTGTGCTGTAGGCTGAGGACAAAATTGGGGAGCTGTTTACAGAAACTGGCTCTTATGAGGGACAAAAAGTGTTTCTTCTTATTGAATGGGTTCTCTGCCAGCTCATGGGACTCACCTTGCTAGAGTTTTTATAGAGGACCGGCTTAGACTACAATCTTATTGAGGCCAATGGAACTCAATGGAACGCACATCTGAGTAAACATGCACAGGATTCTAGCATCCATGTCTCAGGAATAAAATACTTAAAACAAGATAAAATCATCACTATAATTCTTCATTATGGTCTCTATGTAGTATTCACACAATTGGGTGCTTTGTGCCTGTGCAGGTGATCCTCTGGAATATTCCAGGGCTTAAGTCTAATGTCTTTTCTTCCACCATGGAATTAGACTATTGGACTAGCTAGATCTTTCATCTGATCTGACATGGCACTTCCTCTTAAGTTAGAAAACACTACTCACAATATAGTTCTTTGGGAGAAACCCCTATTTACATCCTTCTAGTTTTTAACTACTGTAATTGTCAGCAATGTGCACTGTCCCTAAGATCTAATCTGAACCCCACTTCAGTGTTTTGAAAAACAACTCGTATCAGCTCAGACACGTTCACACCCATACTGCTTTGACTTGTATCCCCGATAAAATTCAGAAACATGAATGTTCATGCCTCTCACACTGACAACTGAACAAAAACAAAAAAGTATAGAGAGTATGCCTGAAATGCTATTACGGTACTTACATTAGCTATTACAGGTGTAACTGTGTAAACTGCACTCTTAGCTATGCTTGTATTCCTCACTGCCTGCTAGTTGCCTGATGTGGCACATGGCAAGGAATACAGGCATCATTTTTTAAAACTAGCAGCAATTCACTGCTGCAATGTACACAACTGTACTTATACTGGTGTATGAAATAGAATTTTGGGCAATGTGAAAAAGAACTGAACGACCAATAATTAGTTAAAAAATCTGCACTGAGAGGTGTCTGAGCTGTTTTCTGACCTCATGAAAATTTTAGTATATTCAGGGTCAGTGGGTTGAAGCTCTTGAACTCACTGCAACCTACAATATCTCCACTGAATGGGACTAAACTACTGACAGCCATCTTATCTTTTTCTTAACATCAATGACTACTGAAAAATTACATACAATATTTTTGTCTCAATGCATTAATTACACTGGCTGGGCTGGGCTACTCCAATGGAAAAAAGCAGCAGATTTGTCAGGGGTTTTCTTTTTGTCCCAACTGATTTATTTTCTTTTGTTGTCTATACAGAAACAAAACAAACATACTCTACAGGGGAAAGCCTGAAACTTGGGGATATAGTATACTAGTATTTAAGTGACAATCTCACAAAAGGCCTCCTTTGTACATGTAGTTCTGTGCGAATTCTGGAACAAAACATTATTTTTTGATCTTAAAAGGTCCCATCTGCCTAGTATAGTGAGTATGCCTGGAATGCTATTGATATTTTTATCATTGGTCTTAATGACATTCATAGTATATTCTTCAAAATTCCTTTTTGCATCCCTAATTTTCTCCTTGTATTTCCATTTCAACTTGGATTGAGCTTCAGTTTGTTGGTCTTCATTCAGTTCAATGCTGCAACCAAGCAGATTCAGCACTTGCACTGCCCCACCTGGCTTCTAAGAAAGACAACTATATTTTAGCACCATATGCAATGCCTTCAGAAATACGTCAAGAGGTACTAGTAAATGAATGAAATAAGGTAATACAGCACCAAACCCATCCACTTCATGGACACCAACTCTCTAGACAATGGCTAAAATTGAGGAAACGTTTTCTGCACACATTATTATTAAACTAGAACAGGCTAGGCTAAATCTATGGAAAGGCAAAACATTACAACCTTCCAAATTGATGAATGCCAAAGAGTGTCAAAATTCTGGCTAGACCATTTGAAGAACGAGTGATGTGGGAAGAACAAAGAATAATCAAGTAAAATGGGATTCTGGCTAGACCATTTGAAGAACAAGTGACGTAGGAAGAACAAAGAATAATCAAGTAAAATGGAGCTATTTGCATACAGGGCAAATTTCTTGTGAATGTGGAGAAATTCAATCAAGGCAGCATTTCTGTTTATGCAATTTATTGCCCACCATGTGTATAAAAGATCTAGCAAATGGCTGAGATAACACTATTGAAGTAGCCTGCTTCTGCTCAAAAACAGTTTAATAATTTTAATATTTTAAATTTGTTTGAACTGTGCAATGCTCTGATACAAATAAAGAAGAAAGACTTGTTCATAATTTTAAACTGTGCAATGCTCTGATACAAATAAGGAAGGAAGAAAGGAAGCACTCATATGGCTGACACTGTATAGTACTCTAAAAATCTAGATAGTTCTATTCAGTCATTTTTGTAGATACAGAATAATGTTGGTGTAAAATTGTAGTGAAGCCCCCAAGCTTGGCTAGCAATCCTCCAGCACTACTGCCTACAAATGACCGTCCAGGTAAAAGCAGAGCCTCCTAAAAACAGCCCTCCTGTTCAGACCGTCTCTCCCACTGAACTTACCAAGACTGGCTTCTTTACAAACAAGTACAGCATTGTATCACAAAGAAGGGAGTTTTGTGGAATGTGATTGACTTTTTTCAGCCTTACATTGCAAAATAACTTTCCCACGCTACCTATATGTATGTATGTGCACATGGAGCATTTTCACTGGACTACTCTGCACACCTGATCTAACGTAAGTAAATTTTTCCCACACTACCTATATGTATGTGCACATAGAGCATTTTCACTGGCCTGCTCTGCACACCTGATCTAACGTAAGTAAATGTTTACCTATAAAACCTCACAGCCCAAACTCACACTGGAAGAACTTCACAAGGCCATTTCAGTGCCATGCATTAGGTTAAAAAAAGCTTGTTTTTAATAGGGACTTGGAATTAGGACTTCGTACCAAAGACTCCGAGGTGGACCCAACGACTTGCTAACATCCCTGAGAGCTACACATAGTCAACCTGCTTGATTTTCCAAGTGCTTACTGTCAAGTTACCACAGCACAGGATTGTAGAGTTCAAAATGTAATACAGGAAGCCTGTGCATCCTGAGCTCAGAATTCTGTTTCCATGCAGTCCACAGGCCTGACTTTCCTTTAACGAGTGTTAATGAGACAAGAGCACAGCTTTGAAAGCAGGCTAAGTAAAGGAGGCCGGGAGGTTATCTGGCTCAGAAACCTCAAGGGGGTGGGGATAACACATTTTAAAAACTGTGCCTACCAAAACAAAGCAAAACAACAACAACAAACAAACAAAAAGGCACGTATTGTGGCATCTTTAAGACTAACACAAATTTGTATCGATGTCAGCTCTCTTGAAACACAAGTCACTTCCTGAGAGACACCCCGAATTCACAGCAGGGAAGCAGCTTCCTCTTCTGGAGGGCCGTTCAGACTGAAATAAACCTGCTAGCCTCCAAAAGTGGCCCCAATATTTTTTTTTTCTGTTTTGTGGCAGAGACTGGAAGCGGCTCCCCTTCCAAGACAACCGCGGCGCCTCCCAACGGCGCGGAGGGGAGAGGGGGCCTCGGCGACGACGAAGGGCTCCCGGTTCCCG